TTCGTGGGAAGAAAATATTAAGGGCTTGTTTGAAAACTGTTATGATATTATTTTTTTGATATTGGTATTTAAATTTGGACCTATATCATATTTGGGACGGTTAATATTGATTTGAAATAATTCATAACATATAAGATTTTTTTAGCCTAAACACATATCATCAAATTAGTGATATTGTGTATTTTAGTACTGTAACAGAATAAGTAAAACAAAATTTAGAATTTTAAAAAATAAATTTTCGTTACTAAATATGGTTTCAATTTCTACCCAAAATTTTCTTATAACAAAACGATTGTTTTGGTATTTACAAAAAACATAACGCTTAAAACACATCACATGCTAAACGGGCCCTAAGAGTGTCGTGGTCAAAGTAATAAATGTTGAATAGTTTGTCGTATATAATTTTTTTAAATATCAAAAAACTGGAGAAAAGCATTAAATACCCCGAGGTTATCCTGACCCTTGGATGCGGTAGAACGCACCACCACATCAATGATATAACGACTTCAACTGGTTTGAGTACGATATTTTTGAAATATTTAATATTTTCTCAAAAGGACAGTTGGTGTAATTTATTCTTTAAAATATATAAAATGTGAATCCATAAATGATTAGATATTAGAAAAAGATTTGAATACGAGTTTTACCGAACTTTTAGATGGTCTATAGTGGATGAATATCTAATAATTTTGCTACAATTATTCCTCACAAATCTCTTTTTGTACCAACAATTTAATATTTTTTCTACAATTATTCCTTACAAATCTCTCCGTGTACCAAAAGTTGAGACCGACGGGAGCTTGAGAGATCCATCATTTTCTAACCTATACAGGTACTGTGTGGTAGGTTGAAGTCAAAATCGCCAGAGTAAATAATAACCCAAGCGACTGTGATTTGTGACTCCATTACTTACCCTACTAATAATGTTTCTTACCATGCTTACCTTTTAGGAAAAAAGAAAAAAACAATGTTTACTATGGTAAAAACAAAAGAAAAAAAAAATGTTTACGGGTAAAAACTATGTTTACCACTTTAATAATCCAAGCAATATTTTATTTTTGTAAAAGGTAAGTGTAACAAAGGTCATTTGTCCCACATCCGATTCAGATGAGAAAGTGACTGGGTATAAATTGGTGAGTATGTAGAACAACTTAACAACTTGAGTTTTTTGATAAATGGGTAAGCGCTCACCAGTTACGGTTGGTATTAGAGCTAGACTCAGTTCTTGATCCGGTGTCACACCAAACTCCCTGTCCGGAGGGCGTCCGGGTTTGCAGCCCGTGTAGGCAAGGAGGCCTGAACCATAACGAGGGCGTTGCGAGTTTGGGTATGGGAAAATGTAACAAGGATCTTTTGTCTCACATCAGATTAGGATAGCAAAGCAATTGGGCATATGCACTTATAGTAAACATGAAAGGAAAGTTGTTTATTGTAATAACCCAAACAGTTTTTATTATTATCATTATTATTTTTTAATTGTAAAAGGTAAGCAAAGTAGGAAAGATGTTTAGGTTGGTAAAAACTATGTTTACCACCATAATAATACAAACAGTTGTTATCATTATTATTAGGGCAAATTACATAAAGGACCCCTTAGGTTTTTAACTTGTACATGTAAATAAAAGATGGTCACAATATAATAGAAATGCCAAATTAATTGTCTGTGGTTAGTGGATTGATATGAATTTACAGTTTTGTCCTCTTAGAAATCCACCAATAGGAGCGTATACGGTATATACCTAGATAGGAGCGTAAAAGCAGAGAGATCTATGAGATCTAATCGCTGTTGTGCTGCTGCTGCTCTCATGATCGTCCTGGTGCTGCTTCTTCTCATTTTCTTCTTTTTCTCGCCCTTCACTTGGCCATCGCCATGGATCTTGTCCTTAACCTTATCCAATAATCCTTCCTTGGGGGGCTGGCCATTGTGTTGCACTGGCTTGTGATCGCTGCCATAATGTTTCGGCTTGTGCTGATCTTCGCCATACTACCCCGGATTGTGCTGATCTCCGACGTGAAATACGACTAGAGGAGAGGCTGCCACAATTTGAGCAAGCTTCTGCTAGTGACGCGAAAAGTGAGTGATGGATTTGACAACACAATCCAGGAATTCAAGGATGAGGCGGCAAGTGGTGGTTTGGTGAATTGGAGGCGTCGCAACCCTTGGAGAGAAGGGGATCGGCGGAGGAAGAGGGTTTTGAAGGTGGAGGAAACAATGGTGGTGGTGGCGGCACCACCTCCATTTTCTCTCTCCATCGATTTCTGCTGCCGATTGTGGGTTTGTGGATAGTGGGGGTGGTGGCACCGCGATGGTTGTAAGGTGGGAATGGTGGTGGTAATTACAACGATGGGATGGTGGCGCGGTGGAGGCCCGGTGGTTATCTGCTGATTGTGCGTTTGGGGATAGTGGTGGTGGCGACGTCGGTGTGGTACTATGGTGTGGTGTGGTGGTGGCGCGGCGGCGGTGTAAGGTTTTGTTGTCAATTTAGCAGCTTTTTCTATAATTTTAAGCGTGTTGGGCCAATTTTTAGGAATTTGAGAAATAAACAGACATTGGTGGAATTAAAAACATGGTTTTGTAAGAGGAAAGAAAGTGAAGGAGTCTTAAGGGTAAAATTGTAACTTCAACAATACACAATTTTTTATAGATTTTTTCATTAAACAAATAGTTTAACTCTAAGGACAAAAATATAAACTCATATCAATCCAGGGTCTTTCTGTTTTATTGTGGACATCTTCTATCTACATGTACAAATTGAAAACCTGAAAGATTTTTTTTGTGTAATTTGCCCTTATTATTATAGAAAGATGTTTACAATGATAAAAATTATTTTTACCATATTTATCATAAGTTATAGTTCTTGTAAAAATAAATGAGTGTGCGAATCCAAGCACTACAGTGATATGGTCAAGAAAAGAACGAAGAAATTGGTGAACCGCTCAACCTGTAACACGAACTAAAGGCTGATATATGGGCTTGAATGTTGTTAACGGAGGGAATATAATTTTAAAAATTATAATTAAGGCTTGATGACCAATAATTTTTTATTGTCCCAAACATTCCCTACAACATTGATGAGTCAATGTTCCTTGGCGGAAAATGCTATTACACAGGTCAACTTTATTTTCTCTACCTTTTCGCCTGACCATGACTATTATTGTGTATTATTTGTATAGCCCCTAGCTGCCTACAGCTCAAATTATTACTATAATCCCATTCAAAATTAACAAATAATCATTTTAATAAAAACCAATTCCTTTCAACATTCCGAAATTGCCCATTTTCGAAACAAATTGTTGCAATAGCATTTAAATTCTTCACTGCATTTGGATTAATAGGATAAGAAGAAAAACAAAAAATAATAAAAATGATAGTGTTAACCACACTAATTGGTTTAATAAGTAGGGAATTTTTTTTTTGATTTTAACAAGTCATTCATCTTATTTGAAGACTATGCATGAGTAAAATCTACAAATGAGAACTTAATTATTATATAAAGTAAGAACTCTTTTTTTCCCAATTCCTTCTATTTATGGGATGATAGATAAATTATTATTATAATTATGATTAGGGAGGCGATATTCACACTTCACTTTTCTCCAATTACACTACATTTATCTTTTTATTTTTTAAAAAAATGACAAGAAAGTCCTTCAATTCATTAATCAACTATGCCTTATTTTATAATGCCATAACTACCCTTTACACAACTTTTTTTTTTTTTTAACCTTCTTTAGTTCCTTTACTATTTTTTTTATGTTATAATTTTATTTTTGATAGTCAAAAAAGATAATTTATTCCTGTTTTTTTTTTTTTTTTTTTTTTATGCAATCAAAACGAAAAATTTATTCAACAAAATTGGCTTTTTTTTTTTCCCAGTAATGTCAAAAGAATTTTTATTTTTATTTTTTTATGGTCCCATCAAAAGAAATAATTTATTCAATAGAAATATATATATATATATATATATATATATATATATTTTATGGTATTATCAAACAAGATAATTTATTCAATATATATATATATATATATTAGTCCTCTTTTTTTTCCGTACTTTTTTTTTGACTTTGACAAAAGAGTTAATTTTTTTTTTTTTTTTGGGATTTTTTTTCCTATCAAAAGAGACAATTATTTTAATGGTTACTTTTTTAATTTTTGGTGTAGTCAAAAGAAACAATTTATTCAACATAGTTTTTCTTTTTGGTCCTGAAAACAAAATATTATTCATTTTTTTTTTTTTATCTTTGCCAAAAGAGATCCAAAATACTAAACATTAAAGATAAGAAGAGAAAATCTGAAAGGACAGTTGTGCCATTTAAAAAGTAATAATCATTTATTTGTAAAGTTAATGTTATAATTACAATTTCATTTAAGATTGTAGTGCAAACGTAGAAAAGTGGGGTGCGAATAGCACCTTTCTATGATTATTGCAGATATATTTCATTAAGATTATAGTGCAAATGTAGAAAAGTGGAGTGCGAATAGCGTTTCTCAATGATTATTGCACACATATATATATATATATATATATATTCATATTGATTTTATCCGAATCTGTTACATCGTGACTATAAATCATAATTACAGTAGTTATCAACGATCTTAGAACACCTCATAATTTAGACGAACATGTAATTTTTATATTTTTCATGCACAGGGTGTAATTAAAAATAATTTTTAAGAGTGACATAAATCACACTAAAATCATCTTTCAAGATTGAACGAACTTCTCATTTTCACTTCTTTTACTACTACTTTGGTCTATGATAATCCCTTCTTCCCTTTTTTTGTCAACCAGTCTTAAAACATTTTTTTATATATATATTTTATTTCCCTTTCAAACAACAACTTAAACATTTATTTTTATATTTTATTTCCCTTTCAAAACAACACTAAAAAAAGAGGGTTGGCCAAAAGGGCATCCTAGTAATTGCACTTCAAAAGGTAACATAAACAAATCATCACCCTCTCCATCCTCCTCCTCATGTGGTCTGTAGACTGTACGTGTATATATAGACCATAGAGTAACCGTCTCCCACAGTCCTTATCTCTCTCCAGCTTTCTCTCTCTAACAGTCCATCTCTCTCTCTCTAACATTTCAGCTCTCTCTCCATGGGAACCTTGGAAATAGAAGCCCCATTGGCCAAGAAAGTATCAGACGATGAGGACATCTACGACGACGAAGAATCCCCAATCGAACAAGTCCGACTGACCGTACCCACATCCGACGACTCCTCGCTCCCGGTATGGACCTTCCGAATGTGGGTCCTGGGCTTGCTCTCCGTCGTCGTCCTCTCGTTCCTCAACCAGTTCTTTGCCTACCGGAGGGAGCCTCTGGTCATCACCATGATCACCGTCCAGGTGGCCTCCCTCCCCATCGGACGGTTCATGGCCTCCGTCCTCCCCACCACCCAGTTCAACATCCCCGGGTTCGGGGCCAGAAAATTCTCCCTCAACCCGGGTCCGTTTAACATGAAGGAACATGTGCTCATATCCATATTCGCCAACGCTGGAAGTGCTTTTGGGAGTGGACCGGCTTATGCTGTTGGGATTGTAAACATCATAAAGGCCTTCTATGGAAGGAAGATCTCGTTCTTGGCTGGTTGGCTTCTTATCATAACTACTCAGGTACCCACTCTTTTTTTACTGTGAGCTAGCTGTTGTTTGGTTGCTGAGAAAGTGGAGGAGAAAATGGATTTAAGATAATCATACTGCTTGAATTGTGTTGTTTTGGGTATCCCAAAATGGAGCATCAAAGTATTCTTATGCATTTTATACTATGAGCTGTTGTTTGCTTGCTGAGAAAATGGGCGAGAAAATTCGATTTCAAGTTTGAACTGTTTGATTTATGTTGTTTTGGGTATTCTTAAAATGGATAATTAACTAGTAATTATGCTTAGTTGAGGGGTGATCATTATTTGTCTTTCTATATTTTCCTATATTGTCTCGGCAGTCAAGCAGAGGATTCTTCTTCATGGTTATACAATTATGTTTTGTGGTGGAGTTTAATTAATTTTCAAGTTTTGGGTTTCTATTTTCAGAAAGAAAATTTTACCTATACAGTTATGGAGTACAATTTTTATAGTGTACAATTATTTGGTCCCTAGTGTACATCAGCCAAAGCTCTTTCTTCAGCTGTGAATCTGATTGGATTCATCATCTTAATTCATAGAAGGGTTCATCCAAGGTTCATGCTAACGTGCGCACTCTGTGAATCAGGTTTTGGGTTATGGTTGGGCTGGCCTATTAAGAAAGTATGTGGTGGAGCCATCTCATATGTGGTGGCCCAGTACCCTGGTCCAGATATCACTATTCCGGTACTCCTCCTTTTCTTCTTTTGTGTGTATGTGTGGATTTTGTGCCGATTAACACTGGGGACTTGTCACTATAGTTTAAATGGTCTTGTGGTATGTTACTTTATATTTCCTTTACACCATGTCTTTTTAATATTTGGTCACCCATATGTTACCATATTAGGTCAATTGCTTATATATTGGACACTAAAAATGGTTTTTTTTTTTCCTAGTCATTATACTTCATTGGTGTCTCACTAACCCTTCACTATTCAAAACTAAAGGTTAAGACCTCAATTCCAGCATGGGCAAGGTGCATTTTCACTTGAAACTATACAATATTTTTTTATTATTTTTTTAAAAATCTTATTTATATTTAAATAACACAGTTGTCTTTCAAAGTACTGCTACACTGAAAAAGAACTCTAGGAGACTGCAGGCCTTCTTATATATATACATATGATATTGTAATTGTTCTTTACCGGCACTCCGGCAGATTTGACGTGCGAAAATAACCAGTAGACCTCATGTCCGCCTGCACAATCAAAAGCTAATAGTCTGAAAACCATTTTCTTGGACCCATCTGTCAATCGGTAAACTACAGTCTACAGCCAAAATTTTTAGCCACTTTACAGCCCAATTTTATTTGAGAAGACATTATTGTTATCTATATACTATGTCTTTAGTAAATTGTCTACTTGTTATTGTCACATGTTATAAAGTTTCATCATTCATATAACTAGCATTTCAAACATACAGCTCTACCAAATAAATTGTACTTTTCTAAGCAATTCTTTGCCACCACTTGTTAGAGCTCTTTGGTTAAGTTTTTCCCCTAAAATTCAAACTTAAGCTTCTGTCATAGGAAAGTCACTTCTGATGACAACTTCAGCACTTGTAGAGGTAGATTATTCCAATGGGCTTGGGGAAGCTGATGCAGTAAAAGTTGGTGGGGTATAGATATATATTATATATATCTACATACACATCCACATGGCTCTCTGTATGTATCAAACTATAAGATTGTATGTGCATTTGAACTGAACAATGAAAGTTTGTAAAGCACGTGTATGCAGTCTTAGAAAAACATATGAACATAGCATACATACTCTAACTGAGAGCATGCAGCTCTTGCAAAATTAGAACAGAAAAATAAATAAATAAATAAAAGTTAATTGTGGAGGATTTACTAGGAGCCAATGCACAGTTAATAACAATATAAAAGGAGGACCAGAAAGATCCTCTTTATCCAAATATTTATGTATTACAGAAACAGTGAATAATGAACTTATTATTATTATTATTTTTTAATTGAATTTCACAGGGCATTGCATGAAAAAGAAGATGAAGGCAAAGGAACAGAGGATGGCAATGACACAAAGAAGCAAATGTCGCGATCAAAATTTTTCGTGATTGCACTCACCTGTAGTTTCTTATGGTACTTGTTTCCCGGTTACTTCTTCTCGGCCTTACAAAGCATCGCATGGGTGTGCTGGGCATTTCCCAAATCAGTCACTGCCCACCAGCTCGGTTCGGGTTTGTCTGGTCTAGGACTCGGAGCCTTCACATTAGACTGGACAGTGGTGGCTTCCTTCCTGTTCAGCCCTCTCATCTGTCCGTTTTTCGCCATTGCCAATGTCTTTGTAGGCTATTTCTTTATACTCTACGTAGTCATTCCCACAGCCTACTGGGGGACAAATGTGTACAATGCCAAAAACTTCCCCATATATTCAGCCGACTTGTTCACTGCAGAAGGCCAGTTGTATAACATAACAGCTATTGTTAATAAGAAGTTCGAGATAGATATGGCGGAGTATAATAAACAAGGAAGAGTCAATTTGAGTACGTTCTTCGCTCTTACCTATGGATTCGGATTCGCCACCATTGCATCTACACTTACTCATGTGGCCTTGTTTTATGGAAGGTAATCCCTCTGTTTATATTTTGTCCATATATGCTTGATACTTTTAGTTGAATTGCTGACTTCTTTGTGAAGTTTTTAAGTAGCCCATTTAAATTTTTATCAATTTTTAGAAATTCTACCGACTAAATATATACCTTCACTAAACTTAGATGTGCAAAAAAAAAAAACTATATAAGTGGTTTTCATATGATTATTTTGCTGGAAATCAGGGGGCATTTGATGTTAAATTGAATGACTTCTATGGTTGCCGAATTTATTTCTAAGAGCCTATTAAAGGGATTTTCTACTGAATGGAAAAAAACAGAATGTCATAATAATGCAGATGACACACTAAATCATTCCCTAACAACTCAAACCAACCATTTATCACCTAATGGATCAGTTGAAGGAAATTTACATCAACAAAGCAATGGAAAATCTTTTAATCCTTGAAGTTATTGTGCTTGAGAATGAAATGTTTAGTGCCTGCAATCAGTTCTATTCATGTGAATCTGCATCCTTCATAAACCACAGAGGACAATGATTTCCTGCCATTCATTTGTCTGGTGGACACAATCCATTGACCTCTTGCACTGTAATGCCACAGGGAGATTTATGATCGAACCGTAGCTTCTTCCAAGAAGAAGGAGGATGTGCACACGAGATTGATGAAGAACTACGAGGACATACCTTCATGGTGGTTTTACTTGCTTCTCGCAGTGACGATTGTGGTCTCTCTTGCACTCTGCATCTTCTTAAAGAAGGAGGTTCAGATGCCTTGGTGGGGGCTTCTGTTTGCAGCTGCCCTTGCCTTCATGTTTACCCTCCCCATCAGCATCATTACCGCCACCACAAATCAGGTAAGTCAAACTTATAATTCGCCTAATTTCTTCTTTCTTCTATAGTTTTAATAAATATATTCCCATTTTGAAAAAAGAAAATTTCTTTAGCCTATTGACTTTTTAATGGTTCCTGAATAGACACCAGGGCTGAATATCATCACAGAGTACATTATGGGAGTGATATTACCCGGACGACCGATAGCCAATGTCTGCTTTAAGACCTATGGATATATGAGCATGACGCAGGCAATCTCCTTTCTCAGTGATTTCAAGCTAGGCCATTACATGAAGATCCCCCCAAGATCAATGTTTATAGTTCAGGTATCTTCCTACTTCACTCAAATAACATACAACTTATTCCTATATTTTCTTAAAACTATAAGCTTTAACATATCAGAATAAATTGGCTAATTAATAGTTAGAAATTCAGAACTTCATTCTTCTCAAGACAAACAAAACATGTTTATGTAGAAGAGTACCAGATGATTGTAACTTTCGGTTCAATTTTTTCTTCGTATCTGATTACTCTTTCATCTGTATCCCAGTTCCTTGGAACCATCATTGCAGGAACTATCAATATGAGTGTTGCGTGGTGGCTTTTGCACACGGTTAAAGATATATGCCACAAGGAAGTTCTTCCAGAAAATAGTCCTTGGACATGCCCTAACGACCGCGTCTTCTTTGATGCATCTGTCATCTGGGGTCTGGCAGGACCCAGGCGAATTTTCGGCCCTCTTGGCAACTACGCAGCTCTTAACTGGTTCTTCCTTGGAGGATTGTTGGGACCAGTTGCGGTATGGCTCGCGCACAGGGCTTTCCCCAACCAATCTTGGATTCCCCTCATTAACCTTCCAGTACTCCTCGGAGCAACTGCTTCTATGCCACCGGCAACAGCATTGAACTACAATTCTTGGATATTGGTTGGGACGATCTTCAACTTCTTTGTCTTTAGGTACAGGAAGAAATGGTGGCAGAGGTATAACTATATTCTTTCAGCAGCTTTGGATGCCGGGGTGGCTTTCATGGCGGTTCTGCTTTACTTCACCACGGGCTTGGAGGACAAAAGCATAAACTGGTGGGGTAACGATAAGAGTAACTCTGAGCATTGTGCTCTGGCGTCATGCCCTACAGCCAAGGGTATAGCAGTGGACGGTTGCCCTATCTTTTAAGACGTTCATCTTTGTCTATGTCTAAATTTGGTTGGTTTTCATGACATGGGAACCCTCACAATTACCGGCCTTTTGGACTTGTAGCTAAACCCGGATATTCGCAAGCAACACTTATCCGTTAAGTCCGTATTTGCTGCCATTGGTAGTTCTATAATAGAATCAATACAACACTGTTGAAAGTTGGTTGTGCCGAATACATCATTCTGTTCTGAACTTGAATACTGCGTGTGTGTGTGTGTGTTTTTTTTTTTTTTTTACAATGTCTGCTTACTTGATGCCTGTGCCAGCCAGAGATATTGGCTATTCATTCAATTCTCTTTATTTGGAGGTTTGCTTGTAGAGTTGGTGTATCTTGGTTGTTGATTTTTTTTTTTTTTTTTGCTGGTTTGTGGAAATGGGATTTTTCAATCCTTGATCTGTCAGCAGTTGCTTTCCTTTGTATTGTCTTGGTTTTGTTAATAAAATCTTACTTGGAAAAAAATATATTTTTTGTATGTGCTTGAAATTACAATTATGGAAGGTTTTCTAACATTTATGTCTCAACTTGTGAATATTTTGTATGTGCTTGAAATTACAACAAAAGCCTATTACCGAGGACTATTGACCGAAGAAATTTTAATTCTGCTCCTAAAAGACATGTTTATTGCAATAAAATACTATATATATATATATATATATATGGACAAAAACGTAATTACAAGCCACAAGCCTTACTTAGTGTACTTTTACGAATAAAAAGAGAGGTCAGTATATATTTGATGAAACCTAAGGGAAGATCAGTGTAATTTATTTAATAAAATTTTTCATTCAATAAATAAGCAAGTAGTAAACTCCACACCACAATTGCACATTAACCCAATATCACATTAAATGTACTCAATTTTACAGGGACAACTTTTATATATATGATTATTCAAATTCTCATATTTGAAAGTTGAACACATTTTATTTAAAAGAGTTTGAAAAGAAAAAAAAAAAAAAAAGAAAGTTCGACACAATTACAAGAAAGTGAGTCTTTAAGCTACTTAAATATAACACCCACATAAATATAATTTCGTCTCCACAATAATGGTATACAGAGAGAATTCTTGTAATTGGCCAGTTCATATGATAATAAGACAAGAATAATAAAGATGAATACAGGATATACAAATACTTATAGCAACTAAAATTTTAATTTAATAGGTCACTACTTTATATTATAAAAAATATGTGTAATTAATATCACAGTTAAATTAATATATTGACATTCCTTTTTATTTGCAAAAGTACACCAACATCATATATAAATATACAATTCAAATCAGAAATATTCGCTCATTTCAATATTTCAAAATAAGTGATACTTGAACATTTAAGAATTTAATAGTGATCTTTTTCTTTTTTCTTTTCTTTCTTTCTTTTCTTTTCTTTCTTTCTTTATTTTTTTATTTTTATATTTTATTTTTTTGTTATCAACATGGGTTCTAAAAGTAGCCTAGAAAGTTTAACACCATTCAGTACGATAATTTTTGTGCATCATATATATGTGCCACACATTTTAAGAATTCATAAGAACATTCTATTAGCACTCCATATTTCATCAAAAAATAATAATAATAAATCTACAAATTCTTTAACTAATAATAACAGTACAGTTGTATTGATATAGAATAGTTTAAAGGTTCAGCTAGCATTGTATAACAAAAGCTAAATACTATATATGAGCATGAGAATTATCATTTCAATCCTTTTCTGCACCATAACCTTCTCCTCCAAAAATTCACCTCAATTTAGTAGACCCAAAAATCAAAATTTTATTTCTTAACTAAAATACAGAACTAAAATTTTATAAATTTTTATAGATACAAAAATTGATTATGTTATTGTAAACCTAATCAATCTTCACATGCATCACTATGGAATATGATAATTAATAGAGGAGCAGATCTACCTCGTGATTCTGTGAATACTCCACATAGAATGTAAGTTGTTTGTATAACAATGTTAAATATTAATTTGCTCAAATATAATAGACCATTCATTTTCATCTCAAATCTATTGGCTTTTTGACAATCTTGGTATACTTCAAGTGGAAGCCAATTTGACACAGGTATATACATCACATCAGTGATCCACGGCCACAAAAGGGCACAGGCCCAGCCAATTAACAAAGATGAACATCACTAAGAACTGCTATTCAATTGTTATTTGATGAAGACATCGAACCACTTCCGGTGAAGGTTTCAAGCAGCTCTGTAGGATTAATCCGGAGGACGGGGAGGAGGTCTGCAGCAAGAAGGAGGAAGATTCCAGTCAGAAAGTATTCCCCTCGAAGCGGCGCAGTCTTTTAAAAATCTTGCAACACATGTTTGAGACAAGTTCATGTAACCTTATAAAACATGTTTGAGAACAAAATGGCATTTTGAATTAATCAAAGCATTAGAGAGAACAATATTCCTCTGTGCTCGTTTGTTTTGACAAAAGGTAAAATATATATTTTTTTATTTTGTCGATGTTTGGCAAAAGTTGACGTCGAGATTGAGGTCGAGTCCATCAGGCGGGGCATGTAAAATAACTTGTCAAAAATTGATGAATAAGTTATTTTTGTTAAATTTTAATATATATTTTTTTTCATAAATATTTTACGATAATCAAATACTAGAGAATTAAAAAATATTTTACGTCCAAACAAAAGGAGGCTATGTATATAATAAATTTCATTGATCACCTCTCTATTTGATCATGAGACCCTTGCTTATAAGAACCCATTTGAAAATTTTTAAGCAAACAGACACCATTGTATTATGAACGTGTTGTTAGCACATATCACTTTGAGATCACAATGTCAAATTTCAATACCATTACTGTTCCAAACATGCAATTTTCGTGACTTTAATTACTGTTTGGTTCTCATAAACGAAAAATTATTAAATATTCTAAGATACCGACAATCCAATAGTTACTTATTATTAGTGAGGACTCGGGATACTATAATGTGATATCCAGTACAATAAAATAAAACGAAAAGGTAAGAAAATGGAAGGAGATAAATCTGTTTCCCTGACAGATTTTCTTCACATTTCCTTTTCAAGAAATTTTGAGTTTCTCTGAGGCTATAAAATTTCTTTATTCTTTCCATCATATATAATTATATATATATAATTTGTATCTAACAGATTGTCAACATGAGTAAAAACATGACTTGCAAACTAGGAATTAATGGGATTGCTGCTAAGTTTATATTAATTGCTATACACATCCAGATGCTATCAAAGGCAGATAAGAGTATCAATAATCTTCTTTTCTATAAAGTATAAACCCATAAGTATACATTTTAAACTTGACATTATACTTTCACAAAACATAAAAATGCCCCAAGAATAAAAATTTTTGGAAGTAAAAGACGAGGACTTCCCAGTCACCCAACCTAGTACTATTTTCGCCAAACACTCTTAACCGCGAAGTTCTGATGGGATTTGGTGCACTAGTGCTAGTCGTTTGTGATCAATTTTGGAGTGATTTGGAAGATGGGGTAGCAAATCTTGATGAGAACCCCCTCAAAAAGAAGAGTCCTCATCGCGGTTGTCCCAGCAGCCTGTGAGATATATTTTTGTAATTGGCAAATTTCTGTAGCAAAACAAGTCATAATCGAGTTGTAATTTCAGTTACCATATCAGACTCGACATCAACTGCGGAATTGGAAGTTTGTTCAGAAGAGAAAAGTACTGTTGATCATAGAAAAGGCAAGAACAACACATTAGGACATTGTTCCCACTTAGGACACAATTACCTACATGGTATATATTCAGAGTTACCAAAATACAGAAAATCCAAGTTCCAGTTGGATTATGTCAAGTGGGAACCAGTACCAAGATTTGGGAACCGGTTTCAGAAGCTACAATCCAAGAAACTCTCATTGTCCTTTGGAAACCGGTACCAAATGTGGGAACCGGTTCCAGAAGTCCTGTTTGAAAAAGGTTTCCAGTTTTCTTGTTCTGTTTGATTCCTTTTTTATCCAACTTTTCTTCCAAATCTTGTGCACGAAATTTCCTTTATTTTCAGAAGGAATAGGACTTTACAAACCTCTATATAAACCATGTCATAGACATCGGTTTAGGAACGACTTTTACATCATTATTCATATATTATACAAACTCTTAGGAAGTTTATCCCTCTCAGAATATCAAAGTTGATTTTTCTGTTGTCTTCCTAGAACACACACATATTCACCTAGTGATGTTAGAGTTGTGATGTTCGAATCCTGATCGTGATCATATAGTTGTATTTGCATTAATTAGACAAAAACAGATTTTCTTTTACATCAATTTCAGAGAAGAACAAAAGTAAAAACGATCACACTTTGAAAGGGTTGGAGCATTCGAGGAGTGTTGTCTAATCTACTTGCTACTTTTCTACAAATATCAAGCATAAGCCTGAGGTCAAGTTGTTGTTGGACGGGGAGTCGCAAAGCCAGAGGATTGTCAACAGTTGGTGTTTGGTAGAACAATAGGGTGTGAGCCAGAGTCAAAGTTCAGTTTACTTTGTTTCAAGCTTAGTGGATCGGTTTACTTTGAACTGCACAGTCCACGAGGTTTTTTTCATACAAACAGTTGACGTATTTTATCAATTGGGGTTTCCTCGCAAAAATCCTAGTGTCATCTCTAACTTTATACTTTGTTTTATTTTATCTGCATGTGATTAATTGTTTAATTGTTAAAATAAGTAAAGTTGATAAAGACATAGATCTGTTTTAAAACAAACAAAACTTTCTAAGTATTTTCTGTTGTGTACAACTTACACAACCTTCAACGAAGTTCTGAGCAGAGCTTAAGGGGTTATACCTGAAACTGCCTTGTGCTTTTGATCCTTTGGATTTGAGAATGTTTGTTATGTCACTTACACTACTTCTTTGCCATGTACCATTACTTCTTTAATTTTCTTGTCCATGCAAACTTTAGCTTGAGATAACCCCAGCATGAAATCTGCCTCTCTTTACATATACTGTCACCAGAAGATGAGTATCTCTCTATAGACTGAAGTTTTTTGGAGAACAAACTTTCTAGCTCAGAAATGAAGAAATTATGGAGCCTGTCACTCTCTCTCTCTCTCTCTCTCACACACACACACACACACACACACTTAAACTTGAGCCTGTGGTAGTGAGGGATAGAAGATAGCATAAAATCATATGGACATCTTGTTTTCATGAAAAAAAATGTAGGGAAAAAAATTAAAAAATTAGGTATGAGTGAATTATTAGAGGTTGATGTGTCTGTGTTATTGACTGATTTTGATGTGAGATGTATTTTATTATTGGCTAATCTCGTTGTCAAAACATGTCCGATCGAGTTGTAATTTTTTGGTTCAAAATTCAAAGACTAAAGATCGGATGCGGA